CTGATGTGTAGCTACTCGAACCTTCAGCTCCCTCCACAGATTTTCAATGGGATTAAGGTCTGGAGACTGGCTAGGCCACTCCAGGACCTTAATGTACTGCTTCTTGAGCCACTCCTTTGTTGCCTTGTCCGTGTGTTTTGGCTCATTGTCATGCTGGAATACCCATCCTCGACCCATTTTCAATGCCCTGGTTGCGGGAAGGAGATGCTCATCCAAGATTTGACGACACATGGTCCCATCCATCGTCCCTTCGATGCCTGTATGTGTGTGTGTGTGTGTGTGTGTGTGTGTGTAATACATAAGTGCCGATCCTAAAAGCAGTGTGCCCACCCTGTCTGAATTAGAAAAATGGGATGATTGTATGCCTCATATCATAAACAAGCATAGGCTTGTTTCTGCTTGTAATATGTGAGATGGGTCTCCCCTTGGGTTATTATTTTTTTCTGGAGCCACTTCTGTGCTCAGCAGAACTTTAGCACTTCACTGCTTCTGAATAGGTGCAGAATTGTCCTCACGGCTTGGCAACACTGTTAAGTTATGATATGGGAAGTAGGCCATTTACTCCAGGGTCCCACCATAATTCAGGCTTGAGATTTTGGTGGTGCCATGAATCCCTCTATAGTAGGGGTGGATAACTTATGCCCCTCTAGATGATGTTGAACTCAAACTCCTTTCATTTGTGACAATTGGCCTTGTTGGCTGAGTCTGATGGAGCCACAGTCCAACAACATATGGAGAGATCCAAGTTTCCCATTCCTTCTCTAAAGCCCCTTGCTTCATCAGCAGATGGAAAATAAGTACAAAAGAATAAGAAAATAAGTTCTTCCCATTCAGCACCTTGGGGACCTTATTATTAAGATTTTATTTTTTTACTGTACTGTATGGAGTGGTTACAAACCATTAATCTTTATAAGCAGCCAGAAGATGGATATTAATGTTCCCACAATGGAATGTTGGAACTGTGTACCATTTTGAATCATTAAGGAGGCTAAACCACAGTGATTTGGTTAAGGCTGTTCAGTGATTTGGGATTTGAAAACAGCTCTCCAAGGTCCAAGACTAACATTCTGACTACTGGAGAGTATTGACTCCCAGCTCCCAGATCTTTGAAATACCCAGAGAACTAAATAAATTTTGTGCTCATGTTGGATTAAATACTTCATCAAACAATCTCTTTGCATTGCCTCTCCTTTTGATTTGCCCACCCTAGCAACTCACTAATCCAAGTAATTTGAGAAATGTGCCGCTTGACACCAGTCACCTGAGAGAAAGGCAAAGTCCACCAGTGTGAGTCATAAAACCAACATAAAGTTGCAAAAGAATCTTATATGTGTGTGATAGCAAGAGATCAACCTGTTTTGATAAAGTAAAGGTAAGACCTGGTACCTTTGATATGAGCAAGAGCAGCCTGGCATCTTCCACCAAAACAGGAAAACCCACAAAGGCTTATATCCTCTCCAGCCTAATAACAGTGTCTGAAGGGATGATAAGAACCTTAGCACATTCATAGACTCAGAGTTGAAAGCAACCTCAGAGATCATCTTGTCCAACCCTCTGTTGATGTAAGAAATCCACTACTATTGCATCTCTCTGATACCTGTCCACCCAGCCTCTGCTTAAAACCTCCAACAAAGGGCAGTCCACTACCTTCTGAGTAGACTCTCCCACTGCTGAACAACACGTATCCTCGGGAAGTCCCTGTCCTAAATTTCCCATTACAATATAACACAAATAAATAAACAATTATATACCACTTTAAAGCACTCAGTGCTTCATAGAAATAAACTTACAATCCCACACCCACTTGGCAAGGTAGGTTGGTATTATTATTCATGAAAACATTAAAAGAGCCCTGCTGGATTAGACCAAATGTCCATCTAAACCTGAGGTCGCCAACATTACACCCATGGGGAATTCACCTGCCACCCACGTAGTCTATGAATCTCACTCACACTCAATCTCTCCTTAGTCATGAAGTGATGAGGTACTTTCCCCCTGACTGCAAACACACGAACTTTAATTCTATAATCAGATCCATTGCATCTTTTTTGCCCCTGAAAAAGTACTTCTTGAGAAACTGGTTGTATCGTTGAAATAAATATCAGTGCAGGTGAATTATTCCTTAGTGTGTCCATTTGAAAACAGATTACCGGTATTTGTACTACTACATCCAGTTTTTACCTCATGCAGCTACTACAAACTGAAATGATGTGTTCAGTGAGCTGAAGTTCTATTTCTTGATAAGTTACCCCACCAATCTATAAGTGAAGTTAGGCATATGTGCCCCAATATACGTTACTCTACAGGGGCCTACACTGAAGCATTTTGTTGTCTAGTCACCAAGTTTCATCACCTTGAGTAAATTGGTGTGATCTGCAAACTCAGCCATTTCAAGGATCAACTTTGACTCTAGAAAATGTATGCTTTAAATCACCGGCACATTATGGATCCTTATGGGACTCTACATTTTACTTTCCATTGTGAAAACTGCCTGCTTTTTCCTACTCTCTTCTTGTTTAATCAGTTACTAATACATAAGAATGATGGACGTGGGTGGCACTGTGGTCTAAACCACAAAGCCTAGGGCTTGCCAATCAGAAGGTTGTTGGTTCGAATCCCCACAATGGGGTGAGCTCCTGTTGCTCGGTCCCAGCTCCTGCCCACCTAGCAGTTCGAAAGCACGTCAAAGTGCAGGTAGATAAATAGGTACCGCTCTGGTGGGAGGGTAAACGATGTTTCCATGCGCTGCTCTGGTTCACCAGAAGCGGCTTAGTCATGCTCACCACATGACCCGGAAGCTGTCTGCGGACAAACGCCAGCTCCCTCAGCCTATAGAGCAAGATGAGCGTACAACCCCAGAGTTGTCCGTGACTGGACTTAACTATCAGAGGTATTTCTACCTTTACTTAATACAGTGGTACCTCTGGTTACGTACTTAATTCATTCTGGAGGTCCGTTCTTAACCTGAAACTGTTCTTAACCTGAAGCACCACTTTAGCTAATGAGGCCTCCTGTTGCTGCTGTGCTGCCGCCGCACGATTTCTGTTCTCAACCTGAAACAAAGTTCTTAACCCAAGGTACTATTTTTAGGTTAGAGGAGTCTGTAACCTGAAGCGTATGTAACCTGAAGCGTATGTAACCCGAGGTACCACTGTACATAAGAATACCAACCTTCCTAATCCTCAGCTGCTAAGTCTAAATAAGAGCCTTTGCTAAAGGATTTATCAAAAGTGTATTGAAAATCTCTGTAGATAATATCCATTATTATTATTTTCAAATAATAATAATAATAATAATAATAATGGTTATTATTATTATTTTATACCCAGCAGGTCCCAGGGTTGGTTACAATGTTGAATATTAAATAGTTAAAATAGTTAAAACAAATAACAGTCATAGGAATAGGATGTGCCCTAAAATACACATATATAAGGTGTCAAAGACCAGGGTGAAGAGCTGTGTCCTCAGCATTCTAAGAAAGCTGCATAGTGAAGGTGCCGCAAGCTTCTCTGTGGATTACCCTACTCGACTAGACTGTTCCCCACCCACAAGTTTGTTTACATCTTCAAAAATTTCCAAAACGTTGGTGAGACAGGACTTCCTTTAGGAGAAACCATACTGATCCATTCCCATCAAAACTCAATGTTATAATGCTTGGCAACCTTATATTATGGCATTTCCCACCAGTTTCTCCAAAGCAGATAAACTAACTAGCCAGTGAGGATGGAAGAATCTGCCAATTTTAGTTCTCTCAGTTTCTCAATTTTCCAGTCTTAAATTCAGTATTCCACATTTCTGCAGCAATTTGTGATTTTTATAAAAAAAAGAAACCCGCATGAAAATTCTTCACTATTATGGTGCAACTTTCTCCTCCTAAATACATATTTGTATGCAGTTTTGACTTGTGTATAAAGACACTTTGGCCAGCAATTTCTCCTAAAACAGTGCATTTTTGCAATGCTCTTTTCATGAATATATTCAATGCACACTTTCCCCTAACATATATGCATTTGTGTAAACATTGGTGGTTGGAGAAATGTATTGCGAAAAATCACGAACGTGCGAATTTTGAAAGATTCATGCTTTGGTTCTCTTATCGTTTTGAAAAGTGCTAATTTGATAGGTTTGGCTTAAAATGAGAACTGAATTTCTCCTCCATCTCTGCTGGCCAGTAATGTCCTGGATTCTATTTTAAAGAGCAGCATTTACATTGGCTTCTTTTCAATTCCTCAGTTTGGAGGATGATTCTAGTGACACGTTGACTGTTTTAGTTACAAGATAAAGGTAAAGGTACCCCTGAGCATTACGTCCAGTCATGGATGACTCTGGGGTTGTGCGCTCATCTCGCTCTATAGGCTGAGGGAGCTGGCATTTGTCTGCAGACAGTTTTTCCGGGTCATGTGGCCAGCATGACTATGCCGCTTCTGGCACAATGGAACACCGAAACCAGAGCAGCGCACGGAAACGCCGTTTACCTTCCCGCTGGAGTGGTACCTATTTATCTACTTGCACTTTGACATGCTTTCAAACTGCTAGGTGGACAGGAGCGGGGACCGAGCAATGGGAGCTCACTCCGTCAGGGGGATTCAAACCGCCGACCTTCTGATCGGCAAGCCCTAGGCTCAGTGGTTTAGACCACAGCACCACCTGCATCCCATTACAAGATAAACGACTGAGAATTTTGAGTTATTGAAGAACACCTGGGCACATGCTGTCCAGAACATTCTATCACCATATAGCAAATGGAAGGCTGAGGGAGGCTTGCCTAATGCTTCTAATTTCATGGCAAAGCTGAAATTCACACAGAAACTCCCTTATTGTAAACCACAGTCCTGTGTACGCTTGTTTAGAAGTAAGTCTCATTGAGTCCAGTGCAAAGAATGAAGCATCCACCACTTTTTAAACACACACACACACACACACACACACACACACCAGTTCCTCTTGGGAACAAGCAAGGAATGTCAATAAGGACAAACACAGTGAATTGTTGGGCTTACCTGAACAACCAAAAGGAAGCACAAAGAGGCCAAGCCAGAGGAACCACATTAGAACGGGTGTGGAGAACATCAGTTCTCTCTTCTGTGTGTGCATCATATTTTCCAAGACCACCTTGACCGAAGCAGTGAAACGGCAAGAAGTTACAGAGAGAAATGCAGGATGTCAGGTGATTTAGTTTAATTTATAGGTAGTATTGCTTAGTCTTGACAGTTCTGTTCCCCTACCCATTCTGCAACCCACATTAATCTATCAATCTATTTAGATCTATCAATCAATTTAGCACATGGCTTCCATGGTGGCATCAGGGCATCAGCAATTGCATAAGAATTTGTTATTAAACATTAGTGAACACACAATTGTGCTTGGAGCAATAATTAAATAATCAATCAACATATAATTAATTGAAAGCAGTTCCAGAGCCAGTCCTGTGTAATGTGCATCGGATTTTTACCATCTTAATCAATTGCTTGCGAAGATAAAACAAATGAAGAACACTGGTTCACACTTTATGTGCTGGCAAGTGCATATTAGGTTGACACAACAGAAGGCTAAATTCAGAGCATATACCTTGGTGATGCATTTTTTTTTTATGATGCTGTGACACAAGTTATGCTGTACCACAACTAAGCTTTGGACCCCAGACTCTAGAAGCAGTCGTACATAAACAGGTAAACAACTATAGGCGGAAAACTGTTTTCAGATGCTGATTTCTAGGCGAGATTATCAACAGGCTTTCAGGGACAGAATGACTAGAATTTGATGCAGGCATGAATGTAGCCAGAATTTATTGGGTTGGGGGGGAGGCTTTATGTTGGGGGAGAACAAAACTGAGTTATTTGCGATGTAATTGGTCAGTTACCTAAGTATTTTTATTTACGTGATGGGGGGGCAACTGTACCCCCCGGGCTATGCCCATGGATGCAGGGATGATGAATGATCTAAAATGAAAGTCGTATGAGGAAAAGCTGAAATGACAGGAGTTCCCAAAGATGTTTACTACCGTCTCAGAAAGAAAAGGAAGAACTATTGTTTACTGCGTCCAGTGAGAATAACATATTGGTGTAGATCTGATTAATATACTGTTGGGCAGGGTTTTCTTTTTAGCTGGAACTCATCAGAACTCAGTCCCGGCCCTTTCTCAAGTGGGCACTATTGCCATTCTAAGAGAAAGAGGGAGGTGCTCTGGCACCTCTTTTTCTAGAAAAATAGCACTGCTGTGAGAGACTTCAGATTTCTAAATTCACAAATGAAACAAGGTAACAGAAGATGCTGTAGAATTGCCTCTGCTGGAGTTTCTAAAGAGTTCCTACCTCACGGTAAGTGGCCTGACCAGCAGATCTGTAGCCAAGTTCAAAGCTCCCTGAGACTTTAAAATGTCCTTAAAACTGCTATCAAATGAAAAATGAAATGAAACACAGGCATGCATACCATACATTTAAAGCAACCCCCCTCAGAATCCTGGGGAATGTAGTTTACTCCTTACGCAGCAAAAATCCCAAGCACCCTTAACAAACTATAGCTCCCAGGATTCTTTGAAGAAAAAGTGCTTTAAATGTGCTTCAATTGCATTGTTTGTATGCAGCCATGCAAAATTCCTCTTTCAGTACCCCATCTGACCGTTTGCCTAACCCCCTCCGGTTTTCCTGTCATTTCTCACCATACCAGCCTTCTCTTAAGGCAAAAAGATGTGGGGCGAAAGCACCAAGAAAACTAAAACTAAATGAACCTTAACTCCCTGTTTATGCCAGTCTCATAAGAAACAATCTATCTAATCAGTCTGCACTGTAACTTAGCAAATTAAGAAAAAGGAAGGAAGAGGGTCCTTCGCCGTCAACTTACAGTAAGCAGAAACCAGAGAATGATGATTTGCCTTCCAGATATATGCCTCTTCCTTCAGTGATTGGTATAAATACTAATCTTAATTTGGCTATGTCCCACGCAACAGAAAGCTCCTCTAAGTAGTTCGTTCTTAACCTGTGATTGCATAGAAAGATGAGCTACATGACTTTAAGACAAGCCAAATGTCACCACCCCCACAACTTCCCCTTTTTGCCGTCGGAAAAAAAAATCAAAAACTTTCAATCCTTGTCCAGCACTTTCCATATCATTAGAGTAACAGAGGAGCAGGCTAGATTGATAATCTGTGGTAGCACACTGGCATTCAGCAGGATCCCTAGCAGGATCCCTAAGTTTCTAAAATGGGCTAAGAAACAAATATTAATGGACTAAATGTAGGAGTGGTGCTAATAAATGGAATCCCATCCCACTTTCATTTCTAGGCCAGCCTGGCATTGGCCCACAAAGCATGGTCGATAAGGGGACAAAATGAGTGGCTCTGTGCCAGAAGACAAAGGGCTGGACCTTCCTTCAACTGTTTGTTAGAAAGAAAAAGGCCAGAGTCGAGAGTTGAATAATATGAGCTAGAAGCTGGATGCAAAAGCTGCAGGCTAGAAAGGCAGAGAGGTGGGGGGCAGAGAGTCAGGGGGTGCTAATGCTGTGAACCCCTCCACTGTAGGCTCAGGTGGTATATATGTGTGTAAATAAAGACACCTCAGTCTCTGCTGTCCAAAGTGAACCCTGAGTAAACACCCAGAACCTCTGGAATCTCACACTGCTCCGAGATTGGGGTGGCATGCAACACAACTCACTCGCCATATTCTGGCCTTTACTTCTTTATTTCAAAATTATGTCATCATCAGATAGGCTTATTGCACATTAAGAAGAGATTCCCTATTCATAAACTATCACCTTGCAACTATTTGTTTATTTATATTTAATTACATTTATGGGCCACCTTTTCTACCCCCAAGGAGCTCAAGGTAAGAGTACATGGTTGTCCCAGTTCTCCCGCTCATTTAATCCCCACGGTGTGGAGTTCTGGGATTTCTTCCAACTCCCCTCCCCTGTATACACATTCAGATTTGGGTAGGCGTTGGGGTGGGGAGGGGGAAGAGCCATTGCACTAGTGGGACTAATTGTTCTGGGCAGTAGTGTAGCTATCCGCTCGGGTGCCTGGTGCGGGGTGTGTGTGTGTCCTGCAGCTGGGGGCAGGGCAAGTCTCTCCAATGCTTGGAGCCTCTTCACCGCCTCCCCCTCAGCTGTTGGGTGGCTGAGGAAGAGACAGCAGGCAGACGCAAGTCCCACACTGCCATTTTAGGCAGCGTGGAATCTGCAGGCGCCTAAGCCACCACATCACTCCTAAAAAGTTTTGTGAGCCCAATTTTTATTTTAAACTCATTTTGTCACCCCCCTCTGTGATGACACCCAGGGCAGACCACCCCCTCCACCCCCTTCCTCCCCACTGGTTCTGTGTTCTATTAGTGCAACCAATTTACTTTTTTTACTTGGCCATTTGGATAGATGTTTTGTCACTCTTGCAGGGTGGTGATATAAATGTGATTTGTTGTGGTGGTTTGAATTCTCATGTTGTTTTGCTTTACTGTCTATTGTACACTTGTTCTGGGACTGATTTCAATAATGAGCAGGTTATAAACTACCTAAATAGTGTATCAGCCCATTAGTGGAGCTCATCCCGATCTGCCCAGCCATTTTCTTCTCTTGCCACAAGGCACATTTGAGGCCTGTTGCTCTTATCACCAGGGTTGAGGTAAGACTCAAAGGCTGGTCCATTCAGCTTCTGTACGTCTTGTACTCCCCCCCCCCCTTCACTAGAAGCAGCAAAATATTTTGGGCTGATCTTGGTCATGATGTTCTGTGGTTTAATTATGTTGTGTTTTTCCCTGCAGATTTTGATATGGGGATATATTTTTTAAGTGTTTGCTTTTATGGACATGAACATTAGCTTTGTCTTTCTCTCTTCCACTCCCCACCTCCAGTTGCCATTGAAACATTTGGCCAGACTTTTTTCTTTAAATGGGAATCCCCAAGTGATACTGTAGCTGGGTGGTGCCTTTTCATTACCTAGCTTGGCCAAGTGGTATTATTTGAACAGAGTACTGTTTATTTTCCTCTCCTGTCACAGCAACTCTGACAAAGCAGTTTCTCTTCATCCATTGCCTTTCCAATCTGGGAAGGAGGGGTACACCCATTTCTTCAAGACTGGTGAGGAGAACTTGCAATGTAGGCCTTTCCCCATCTGGTCCCTTTTATGTTTTGAAAAACTGGAAAATGGATTAGTGTTCTTCAGCTTCTTTACTTCCCTTTAAAACTTTTAAAGGCTTTACATTTCTGTTTGCCTTTCTATTTCTAGCAAGATGTGGCAGTGTGTAAGGTAAAAGCTAAAGGTAAAGGTAAAAGACCCCTGGACAATTAAGTCCAGTCAAAGGCAACTATGGGGTGTGGAGCTCATCTTACTTTCAGGCCAAGAAAGCTGGTGTTTGTCCACAGACAGCTTTCTGGGTCATGTGGCCAGCATGACTAAACCGCTTCTGGTGTAATGGAACACAGTGACAAAAGCCAGAGCACACAGAAACGCCATTTACCTTCCCGCAGCAGCGGTACCTATTTATCTACTTGCAATGGCATGCTTATGAACTGTTGGGTTGGCAGGAGTTGGGACAGAGCAATGGGAGCTCATCCCGTCATGGGGATTTGAACTGCTGACCTTCTGATCAGCAAGCCCAAGAGGCCTAGTGGTTTAGACCACAGCGCCACACACATCCCATATACAGTGGTACCTCGGGTTACAGACACTTCAGGTTACAGACTTTGCTAACCCAGAAATAGTACCTCGGGTTAAGAACTTTGCTTCAGTATGAGAACAGAAATTGTGCAGTGGTGGCACGGCGGCAGCGGGAGGCCCCATTAGCTAAAGTGGTACCTCAGGTTAAGAACAGTTTCAGGTTAAGAACGGACCTCCAGAACAAATTAAGTTCTTAACCGGAGGTACCACTGTACTAATTATACACAAATGACAAATGTTCTTTAGATGATGTTCCCTATTCCTGGGGTCTAGTAGAGACCAAAGGCCTGAATCACTTAGTCATACATGGTGAATAAGAAATGTTGTCCATTCTGGTGTAACACTGCTTCTGATTGGCTCACTGGGGTATCCAACATGGCACCATGAGGACTTTCCCTGGCATCTACAAAGCCTTGGAGCCTACCCTTCCCCCCCAGGTCATTCTCCCCTACAGTGGCAAATGTGGTTACCTCCTCCCACTCACTGCTCTCAAAAGTACGTAGAGTTGAAGGAAGAAGTTGGAAGAATAATTCTGTTTCTCGTTTTCTCTTTCAAGTCTATCTGCTTTTCAAGGCTCCGACTGGCACCTTGAGAAGCTGAACAGAAAGTGGAGCCACTGAGAGGGGAGAAGGGATGAAGGGGGACCCCAATCTGGGAAACTGAGGGGGTGTTGGTAAAGTGACCTGGGAAGAGATTGGAGGGGAGGAACATGAGGTGCCACAGGAATTGGGTGGGGGCATGCAGAATTGTGCTGGGACTGGTAAAACAGATAATTTCAACTCTTGATCTGTGATTTGATGGTGGCTTTATTACCACCCTATCTAAACGTCACTAAGTTCCAAGAGGAGGGTCCATGCCTTGGATAAAAGTTTTGTGGTGCTGAGTTTACTTGGCAATCTACCACTGCAAGGTATGATATGACAGTGGTTTTTGGGGACCCCGTTTAAAACAATACAAATTAAAGGGAACCCATTTTAATTCTACTAGATCAGTATATATGTAGGCTCCATCTATTGGGGGGGGGGAGAGAGAAAACCAACCTCATAATCTGTTTGTGATGATAAACTAAAATCCATTTCGCATTTATTTCTGCCACCCTGTCTCCCCCACCCTATATTTGTGCCTTTGATCATTTGCACCTAAATGTTTTTGTTGTTGTTGTGTGTTAAACTGACAGTTCCACTTATTTTTTACCTTAAGAATGTTTAATAGGATGTTTTCCATCAGAGCTGGGTGAATTTATTACAGAACAGCTCAGTGGCGTAGCGTGGTTTGTCAGCACCCGGGGCAAGGCAAGTAATTTGCGCCCCCTAACCCGTGGATTTGCGCCCCCTAACCCGTGGATTTGCGCCCCCTAACCTGTGGATTTGCCCTAACCCCAGATGTTGCGCCCGGTGCGGCCGGCCCCCCTGCACCCCCCACGCTACGCCACTGGAACAGCTGCAATCTGAACATACATAGGGAGATTTACTATCAGTATAGGCGGTTATGAGCAGGAGGGGAAATAGCCCACAGGTGTGCTATTTTTGTGTGCAGTTGACCTCAGTGCACACTCCATGCATTCACTTCCAACTCTTAGGATGGGACTGAAATTTGAACGCTCTAGTGCACAGGTACATAGGGCCAAACATAACATGACACTGATTGCATGAATGCAATTAACAAACTTTTTTAAAAAAAAATGCAGCAATGAGAGCCCAAGCAATATTGGAGCTGTGAAGGATGGAGAGAGAAAGCTTTACAATTTAACTCCTTGCCTTAATCGGGATGAAAATATCCCCTATGCTATTTGCTTCAGAAGGAAAGCCTCTGTTGGCAGCATCATTTTCAAATGCACCCCTAGCATTTGTCTAAAAAGTAAAAAAGAATAACAAAATAGTGATAGTCAAAGGACAAAGACCAGTAAGGGATTACCCTTGCTAACTTCAAACATTTGGAGCACATGTTGATGGATGGAGCAAGCTTGCTTTCTCCTACTCCAAAGGCTAGGACCTCAACCAATGGCTTCAAGTTCCAAGAAGGGAGATTCCGACTAAGCATCAGAAATACCTTTCTGAAAGTAAAAATTGTTCAACAGTGGAACAGACTTCCATGAGAGGTAGTGGAGACTTGTTCCTTGGAGCTTTTTAAGCAGAGGCTGGATGGCCATCTGTCATGTACGATCCAGTTGATGCCTGCATTGCAGGGGGTTGGACTAGATGACCCTTGGGGTCCCTTCCAACTCTAGAATTCTGTACTTTTATTTTATAAACCTTGAAGGATGCTGTAAAGGCACTAAAGGCCATTAAAACCACTGGAATGATTTCTTTTAAAATTCAGAGGAACTGGTTGGAAATCTAAAGGTTAAGACTTTATTTCCTAAGGAGCTAACATGTCACAGGCTAAAAAGAGGAAGAACACTGGTTTAGCAAAAGAGGAAGATGCTTAAACCATCCGGCATGCCTGAGAAAGTTTTCATCTTCTCTCTTAATCAAACAAACAATAGAAAATAGAAGCCATTTGGAAAATTATATATCGTTCT